GTGTCGCTAAAGTTTCGTCGGAATGAATTTACGGAAAATTAACTAACGACTGGAGGCGTAACACTATGTATTGCCCTCACTATAAATATAAACTAGACGTCGTTATGCAGGGTCCCTGTTTCAAGAGTATATAAAATCAAAATTAGGAGCAAAAAATATGTTTATTTCCTGATTTTGAAGTTCATATGTCATGCTGTGTTGTAGAGTGCATAATTCTTCTCGTGGTTCGTGTACGTTTTAACAACGTCACGACAGTACAAATTGCAAAGTTAAGCGTCCATTATGTGACGCCATTTTAGTGTTTACTGACTGAAAACACACAACCGTAAGTGGTTAAAACAGGTGACCTCCGGCCCCCTTTCTGGGATTTAAACTGTTATTTTCAAGCCCACTCTTAACTGCCCCTTATTCCGACGCTCTATACATATATTATAAACATGAATTAACTAGAATGTTCAACTTAAACTGGGTCTTATCCACATTTGGACTAAACAGAGGGTTAATAATTCATGTCCCTGAAGGTGTGAATATTGAAAACGTTATTTACAACGAAAGTTTTACAATATAGAATATCACAACTCTATATTTTGTCGAATTACGGCACGCGCTACTAGCAGAATAATATCATTTAAGAAAACGAATGTTCGTCCCTCCATTGCGGATGAATATGAAGAGAAAAACAGAAATGCACACAAAACAATTATATGTATAGGTGTAAGGCCTAGTAAAAGCGACTCATGTGGATGCACGTTTAATTTTTGTATTATTAAACTTTACCTTTTTACTACTATCAAAATTTTGATATCATATTAATTATATAATGCTGTAGCTTCATTTTTTTAAAGCCAATTTTCAGAGTATTGTTTGTGTCATTTTATGCTAATAAAATATGTTACACTGTTATATTTTAAAGAAAATATACTTGCAATAGCCTTGTTTGCTTGTGTTAGAGCAAAACCACATTAGGCTGTCTGCTGCAGGGAATCGAACCCCAGATTTCAATGTTGTATGTCCGTAAACTTACCGTTTTTCCACCGGGGAACGTGCAATAGACATGTTTTTTGAGTTTCAAACAGGTTTCATGTTTAACTTTCTAAGATTCTATTCACAAGTTCAATGTTTTGTTGATTTCTGTTAACAAGTGTATATACAGGGAAGACTAATTAAAACATCCGAAGATAGGGTGGGGTGGATACACACAATAGCAAAACTGCTAGAGGTGGTTTTTGTTTTAAAATAACTTTTAGATCATATTGTAGTGGCCAAATATTCAATATTGAATAAAATACCACAACTCCATGTCAAATTCGACGCGTTCTATTAGTAAGTTAATACAAACCATTACCCAGCTACCTTGATTTGAAACTGGTTTTAAATCTTATTTAGCATTGAGCCATTCTTATAGCACGTTCTTAGTTAACACATCTACACGTAATAGAGGAATTTTAATGGGTTCAGAAAGTTTTGAATAATTTCTGTTTTTAGTCATGCAGCATTTATTAAATATTTTCTCATCAGATGAATGACGTTTCCTTCACAGACTTATGAACTCTACAGAACTCCATCCCTGGAGTGGGACTATCAGTCTTGTCAACCTCTCCTGATAATGGAGGAAAGTTTCCTTGGTGACGTGGTTTATAAAGATCCCAAATTCTACTGTTACACAGTTCATGTACCATTAGATAACAATCCTAAATAAACCTTGAGTCATTGATATCTGTAAAATATGTAGAACTGTTCTCACACTTTTCGGAATTCTAAACTGTTTTACTTGTTCTGAAATTATGTAAGCAATAAAAATTAACTACTGTAAAAGTATACTGAATCGTTTTTTAAATTAATTACTGCAAAAATATACTGAATTACTTTTTAAAATTAATTACTGTAAAAGTATACTGAATCTTTTTAAAAAATTAACTACTGTAAAAGTATGCTGAATCGTTTTTTTAAATTAATTACTGCAAAAGTATACTGAATCGTTTTTTAAAAATTAACTACTGTAAAAGTATACTGAATCGTTTTTTTTAAATTAATTACTGCAAAATATACTGAATTTTTTTTAAATTAACTACTGTAAAGTATACTGAATTGTTTTTTAAATTAACTACTGTAAAAGTATACTGAATCTTTTTTTTTAAATTAATTACTGCAAAATATACTGAATCTTTTTTTAAAAAATTAACTACTGTAAAAGTATACTGAATCGTTTTTGTCTTTTTAAAATTGTTGAAAAATAAAAGATGACAACAAATTTCAAAAGTTAACTTTAATGAACAAAAGAATTTATATATATATATATTTATATTCTTTTTTCTACACAGTATCCATCAAGAATTTTACAAATCTAATAGATCCAGTTATGAATGACCAATTCTCTAGATTATTTAATAGGCAACACATCGTAAACTCTGATCAGGTGGACATCAAATAACAGAAATTATGACATTAGTTCAAACAGGATAAATTAATCTCTTCAGTTTCAAAAAGATACTAATGAAACATACTAATGGAATGTATATTTTTAATTTTGATTATATGAGAAATGAGTGGGTCATGATAACATTTATATTATGCATCTGTGGAGAAAACCAAATTTTCTGCAAAGGATGAGTGAAACATGCTTGAAACAAGTTCTCAGGAAAACCCAGGAAATAGTTCAGAAGATACTGATATGCCCAAATAAGTATATTTATCTACCCTGATAATCACGTATCAACGATACTCGAAGTTTATAACAGGTACATGCTTTAATTCTGAAGTTCATCACTGTTACAAACTTTCTGCATGTAAAGTATAGCATGTTAGTAAAGAAACTTGAACAATTGTAATATTTATTAGTCCACAAAACAAGTATTGTCTAACAAGTACTTAGTAAAGTTTCATCATCTAAGTTCTTCAAAAGATGGTCCAGTTCATCTGAAAAAACAACAACAAAAAAACATGTTTTTCAACAAATGAAATACTGCTAGTCATTTATTAGATTTTACAGCTTTATCAACCTCTGGAATATTAGATAAGACAATAGATAAGAACATTATTCTTAAGTTTAACATCAGCTATGCACAGTTACTATAAAGTTCTAGTTTTTATTGTTAAATACTAAACGGTGAGAGAGTATTTAAAGAAGTGCTTTGTAAAAATTCATAAAAAAAACAGTAATAACACACCAGCATACAATGCCTTTCCTCTAGTCTTTCACTGCTCAGTTAGAGATATCTGCTCAGTGCAGATATCTCTCGTGTAGCTTTGCACGAAATTCAAACCAAAGAAAATGAACTTAAAACATATTTTAACAAAAAGGAACGTAGTAGTGACTAAAGAATTAACAAAACATAGAAAGCCCTGACAAGTTTGACAGGCCAAGCTTGTAATCTTCAAGGGATGGCTTAAAACTGTTCCTAATGTCTTTTGCATAAAGGTTTAAATCAGCCCCAATACCAGTACACATCCAGGTTGAAGGTACATGTGAACTTCGTTTAAAATGACTGACTCACCTGCTATAATACCAGTTTA